AGACGATTCTCCACCTCACAGCTCATTTAATGAAGTTTCCTCCATCACAGTCATTTACAGAATGATTGCAAGAAACAATCAGACGACTATGAGGAATAACAGCGGTCCCTGGTGGTGACAGAGGGGCGGGTGGGTGTTCAGATGACATGTTTGAATCCTTGGAAATGACACTGTCGCGTTAAGAGAGGCAAAATCGACAAAATGGCACGAGCTCCTCTGGATAAAATAAAGAAGAATTTGAGGTTTACCTAAAACGCACTGCGTTACACAGAGGCGTATCCCCGAATCGATCTTTAGCGTAAACCGTGGCTCCGTGGATGAGAAGATACTGCACCACCTTCAGGTGACCCTCGCACGCAGCAATGTGGAGAGGTGTGCGGCCGTCGTAGTCACCCAGACACAAGTTGGTGCCCTGTGACAAGAGAAGGGGGCAGAAAAGAAAAAAATCTGACCTTGAAGTGTGTTTGATGTTTAAGTTTAAAACCAAGAAACGTAAAAGCAGAAAACATAAAAGATTTAAAACCGACAGAAACCACGTTCAACTGAATAAAGACAGACATTTTTGAAAAAGCAAAATAAAACAAAACAAATAAAACGATTGAAAATAATAGTTAAAGAAATGACCTCAGGGCCAGATTTGGGGTTTTTCTTGGGCCAAAAGTGGACCCCGAGCCAGGAGTTTGACAACCATGCTCTGTATTATACAAAATGCTCCTATCCAGTAGATGATGCTTCCACTTTTCCTCGTGTTAAAAATGTCACTTTGTGTGGACTAAGACACATTTAAGTTGAGGTTCCGTAGCACAGTGGTTAACTGGACTGCCTTACCAGCAAACAGCAGAGAATCCTGGGTTTGATTCCCAGAGGAACCACATATCCCTAACGGTGCCTTCCCCTCTTGTGAGTTGCTCTGGATAAAAGTGTCTGCTAAATAACTGTTAGCATGTCTGTGAAGTCAAATAAAATGGACAGTATAGCTGCTCAGCTATGGTTGCTACCTTTAGCCTCCCTGGTAACGATCAACATCACACACTAACACTGGCTCAGACATTTGACTTCAGCTAGTACAACTCATGCTCTGGTTGACACCGGATCCACAACTACTAATTATTGTCATTATTTCTTTCATTATGCAAAGAGCCACCGTATCAGTTGCGTCAAATCCCATAAATGACAAATAGTGAATGTGTCCACAAACCAATGGCGTTCATTTCACTGCAAAACAAAAACATGAAATATTTACAACTAAGAATGTGAAAGCTCAGAGATTATTTACTAGTTTGCCTAAAGTAATGTGTTGTTTAAAAAAATATCTGTGTTAAAAATCACTATTTTTTTTAACCAAAACCCCAAATAAGTGCATTAAACAGGAAGAATGTAAAAGATTAATTAATTAAGATAAATCTAAATCAAACGAGTTCTCAGTGATCCACACTGAGCCACAACCACGTACACTGGCTGCTGGGACAGTCACAGGCCGGCTTTACCTGTCGGGCCTCATGTTTTGTTTGGCCCTATGCACCTGTGTGTGAGAGAGTGTGTGTGTGAGAGTGTGTGTGTGTGTGTGTCCCACACCCCTGATATTGGAACACACTGACCAGGAGCTGATTACATCAGGTGACTCAACAAGCTCAACACGCTGAAAAGTATCGCTCCAGCGACAGTGAAAGTGGAGGCTGTGTAAACACTCGTTCATTTCTGTGCATGACTCTCACTGTAACAAATACACACAGTATGTGTGTAAATCGTGTTTTAATTCAGGGCTGATGTAAAGACGTGTGTTTCTCACCATGTCTTTCAGAGCTTCTAAGGCTTCTGTGTCTCCGATCTTGGCGGCGGCACACGCCAGCGGCGGAGTCAGAGCATCGCGGATGGCTTCCAGCTCCTGGACACAACACGGACCTTAATCATAAAAATGCTGAACTGCAATTCAGGTAGGACTCTGAAATGGCTTAAGTAATAACTGTAAATATTGGGAAACGCCAGGAGTTTCTCATAAGCTGAGTGCAGTGGAGTAAGAAGTGACAGGAAGTGGGCCGTGAGGACTGCTAATCACACTGTTAGCTGGAAGAGGTCCTCCTCCTCCTCCTCTTCCTCCTCCGCCACCGCTGCTGCTCTCACCTCTTTGCAGCTGACGCTCAGGGACTTGGCGATGACCTGGATGAAGCGGCTGTTGCTCAGACACAGCTTGGATCCTGCCATGTCCACGCTCATTTCACCTCGCAGGTTCTGACTCATCATCTTCAGCAGAACCACAAGAAACACAAAACACAGTCTTGCTTCACTATTAACAAGTGCACGAGTGTAGTCACTATTCCTACAAAACTTCTATTCACGTTGAACAAATGATGTAAAATTACAAATTATTGCAGTTTTCCCAACGTGACACAAACAGTTAAAAAATATTGAAATCGTCCCTCCTGCCACGGCTTTGTGGGCCTTAGGAAGGCCCTGCCCCCTACTTTGGCCGTGCATTTACCACAAACCAATGACAGATGTTATAAAAGAGGCCACAGGTAACAGGGTCACTCGCAGTAACAATTGAATAAATTTGTTTTTTATGCAGAGTAAAACTATGTCAGTTAGATGTCAAGTGGGCCGTACCAGTAAAATGATAACGTAATAAACTATAAACAACAATAGGCCCATGTTTTTCCTCTTTGTTTTTATGCAAAGAAGTACAAGTACATTAGATATTTATTACTAATACTATTCATTAAATTATAATGAAATGTATAAATAAATATTTACGAAAAAATATTCTGAAAATAAAGTGTTTGTTTTTTTTTCAAAATTCACCAAGCGGGCCGAATTGAACAGCTCAGTGGGACGGTTTTGGCCCGCGGGCCGTATGTTTGGCACCACTGAAGTAAAGGTAATTTGATGTTGTGCATATGAAATATTTTCTGTCACACTGCATTACAGCCTATTATTATAGGTCTGGCGTGTTCATCTACAGACTCTTCTCATGACAACAACCTTTCGTTTGGTTTCCAGACTCAGGTCCTTCTTGGCCAAAACATAGGACAGTTTGGACAGGGCAGCCTCTGGAGTCATGTCACCACCAACTATCAGCCCTGCGTCGATCAGCACCTAGAGGAAAAATGGGAACAGGTTTGAATCCTTTATTCCTCAGTGCAACTGATTTATTTACACAGGCCCATCCCTTCACGTCGGAGGAGCTACCTTGCCCGTGGCGTAGGACGTGGACACGGTGCCCCGGAGACACTGGGTGCAGTTGACCATGATGACACCGGAGTCAGTCGCCTTCCTCAACTCCTCCAGCAGGTCCGGACGGTTATCTGGGGCATTTCCGCTGCCGTAGGTTTCCAGGACCACGCCCTCCATGGGCGGCTGCAGAAAGGCCCGCACCTAGACACAGGCGACAGCGCACGTTTAAAAACACCCGCAATTTACTGCCGACTGAACTGGCTGCTCAACCGTGGCCGACCAAATTGAGGAATTAGTATTCCATGTTATTTTTGCTGCAGCTCCTTTCACGCCGATACATGTGGCCATTCACACCACTAAAAAGCCCATCTGGTGCCACCTACGCAACCAGTCCCTCCATCACTGGTTGGCTGGCAGTGGGAGGCCCTATACCACATCATTAGCCATGGCTTATGACTAGCGTGGCAGATGACTTAAAATGGAAGGAAGGAGAGCAATTAATCTGAAGGTGTTAGCAAGCATGAAGTCACTTGGCAAGACCGCGTGGCAGTCGTCGTAAAATGCGAGGGGAAGGTGACATTAAAAAGTCCCGGGTTCAGTTGGACAAGAAGTGTTTGACGTGGATTACCAATGAAGCCCTCGTACAGAGGACATATGTGGGCACACGAGAGTCTGGTGCCCAATCAAAGCAGCGCCTCATGAAGGCAGTTAAATGCTGTAAGAAAATCTTGATAGGCAGGCTGGGCAGCAGCAGCAGATTGAGACAGTAAATACCCTCTCCCGGCTGCCGCTGCAGGGGGAGGTGCAGCTAAATGTTACAGTATCTGTGCCAGTCCTCCCTCTTTACAGGACCATCGGTCATGGACCATAAGTCCTTCTCATCCTTCTCCGATCTCAGCTCTGATGCGGGTTTACATGATGGAAAAAAAGCCGTATATCAGAATTAAATGTAATTTAATTGAACTGTGTTTTGGTCCAGTTTTTAAAGGAGCCTGGAACTCCAGCAGAACGTTTGCTTTATTATCATTTAACACGGCGAGAAGGAACATTAGATGATGACTACATAAAAGCATGGAAATATTTTTATATTGCCGCTTTTAATTTTTATTGTTCATAATTTGATATCATTGGGTTTAGGAATGTTGTTGTCTTCCAAGTATAAAAACGAATGGCATCATTTTATAGCAGGAAAACAAAGGGAAATAAAATCAGACGACACCGACAACATTTCCAAAAACATAAAAGTAAATGCAATTTTTACACAAAAAAATAAATACGATAAAATTTAAAATCACAGGGACAATTTCATCAGGCGGTTTTAATGGATTAAAGCTCTAAGGCGAGCCAAGGACCCCCAAACTGGTAATGACATAAACCAGGGACCCCAACTCTATATAGTGGAGCGGTGTAACGGCACAGAAAACCCACGGACCGGTACGAAAAGAAAAGTGGAGTCACAAAAACACAAACACTATACTTATATATATTTAAGTAAATATATGTAGTGTATATATTTCATATACGTATATACACATACACACGTGTATATATACTGTATATAAATATGTATACATATATAGCCATATATACATATTTACATATATATACATACTTACATATAGATATACATACATATATATTTACATATATGTATACATATATACATACATATGTGTATTAATTTAGGACAATTGTATACTGTATTGTAAAACTGTCTTTTAAATTAAACTTCAACCAGAGTCAGGTACCTTACCAGTACACTGGTTCATATATTAATATTTTACTGTATTTTAAATAAAATATTCCAAGTGGGATGATTATTTATGATATATTATATCATCTCGTCAATAAAAAAAAGTCACGACCAAACGTCTTCAGCAGAGGTTTCCACCTCTGGCCTCTCTCTGCACAGCGACTTCTCCTGACTCCATAAATCTTTTGACAGAATGATACACTGCAAACAGCGTGACACCATAATTTCTGGATACATTGTCAACATTGTTTACGTTGACAGATCGTTAACACAAAATGTTCAGCACAAAGTACAAAGTCGTGCCTGTCTCCACTGACACAATGGTGATGCAAAAACATGATAGCAGTTAACCTGGAACATTCCATAATGCTCGACTAATATGGTAATGTATTCTAACTAACATGGCTGTGGGATATCAGGTAGAATTACGTCTACCATTGAACAAAGTGGGAAATATTCATTTTCATTTTGGCTGATAACGAAGGATTTTGTAGGAAAAGGCAAAAACTACAAAATGTAGTTTTTTGTGTTTTAGGGAAGTGTACATACTTTTCTGGAAATTAGTATAACGACAGTGAACTAGCAAATGCTAAAAAAAGATATAAATATTTATATCAGAGTACATCACATGTCGCCCTTTCTTCAATAATGAGCTAGCATCTTCTTTCCCTCTAAACAGGATCACACATGACAAAAAGAACGTCACGTTCGATTTGGAAGGATTTAAGTAGTTTTCGAGCCATCACGACCACAAACTGGTTTATATCAAGTGACAGATTTGAACTGGTTCCTGAGACTGAGTTCAGAGGCTGTAACACAGAATATGTAGGACATTTCCTGCGGTCACTCACGGTAGCAGCAGTGATTCCTGGGAACAGCCTGAGGAGGCCCACGTTTCGGTTCAGCTCTGTGCTGACTTGAAACTTGGCCGTAGTGTTGGCCCTCCACACCGTATCCCAGTTAACTGTAAGAAAACCACACATCAGAAACTCTGTTAGTCTGTAGGTGTTTTTGAACCTGGGGGAGTTACAGCGGCGTCTTACTTGTGATGTCCACCTCAGCAGTGGCCAGGGGAGCCAGGTTGGGGGAGGCAAATGCGTTGAAACTCCCAGCATCCACCTTTGTCACCCGATTTCCTCGGTAGAGTTTGTTGTAGAAATAGAGGCACACCTGAGTGGAGAGTGAAAAGGAACACAGTGCTCTAATGCACGGGTTCAGGGGCCGCATGCAACCTTGTTAGATGTCAACTGGGACGGACCAGAACAGTCAGAACATAATTACCCAAAAATAACAAAAGGTCAGACTTTTTCCCCTTTGCAAAAAAGTATATTAGATAAATCTTTAATATTAAAAATGAATATATTTTTAATATCAATATTTAATGAAAAATAATTTTACAAAATATTTCCTGAACAACAAGTGTTTGTGTATTTTTATTTTCAAAATGTATCAATCGGGCCGGATTGAAGTACCAAGCAAACCGGTTTTGGCCCACGGGCCGCATGTTTAACACCCCCGCTCTAATGCAACACACCTGTGCATATACATCTCGAAGGAATACATGTTGTTTAACACTCGATAAAAATAAAATAAATATATATATATATATTCCCATCAATTAAAAACCCTTACTTGCTCTGGAGGCTTTTTGGCTTTAACGCAATAAAATCAAATTAATTAAGGCAGGCCCGATTATTACTGCCTCTCAGATAAACATACGGTTAGATAACACTTTCCGGGTCCTCTTCCGACTTTTGTAATACTTGTTCAGTATTGCGAAACCCGTGTCACTGTTGTTCTCAGCAGGCAGGTCCTTCATTATCACTGCAAACAAAGAGCGTTTCCATCTGCTGACTTTGGTTTTATATCCCCAGCTTGTTAAGAGATACATAGATTTATAATGGAAGAAGCCGCATTTATAATTTGGTCACTGTTTAATGGCGTCTCCGGAAGAGCTTTAAAGACAGTTCCAGCGACGAGTAATCACCGCCGTTCTGTTGTTTCCTCACATTCCATTAATACAAACTCTTTTTAATTTTCTTCTTGGAGGCAGCTAAATGAAGCATGACAGACAAACGACTGAGCAACACATGCACGTGTCCTCACCTCAGGTATAACAAATTGTCCAGCAATCAGCAGCGCCCCCAGCAGGTTCCCTCTGCCATCGTTCCTCATCTCATAGATGGGAACCTAGACGGGGGAAATTATCTCGTCTTAAAAACAGATGTGAAGGCAGCAGCAAGTCTATTTTAAGTCCTGCAGTTTTTACCTGTGAGCCGGTGAGAATGATCGGTTTGCCCAGATGTTCACACATGAAGGACAGGGCGGAGGCCGTGTAAGCCATGGTGTCTGTGCCGTGGAGGATCACGAAGCCGTCGTAGTTTTGGTAGTTATTCTGGCATCACACAGAAAAAAACCCACAATGAAATATTTAAATATATCATAGAATAACTCATGTCGTCAGCGGCCCAGTACCAAAATATCTACGGACTAGTACCGGTCCACAGACCAGGGGTTGGAGATCCCTGATGTTTGTGACGTGTGTGAGTGTGTGTGTATATACAGTGTGCACACCTCAATGTCCTTTCCAATTCTCCCCCAGTCGTCAGTGGTCATATTGGAAGAGTCCAGCAGGGGGCTGTACTCCAAGACGGTATAGACGACTCTTTTATTTCCTTTACTCATCCTGAAAGACAGAGGGATCATGTTCAAATTAAATTATAGTGCATTTTAAATAGGAATGTGTTATTTGTTTTAACATTCAAGCAAAAAAAATAAATTTAAATGCTACTAACAGTGGATTAGTCACTGCGATGCATTAGTTTCACTCCAAACACACGGTTAATTTAGCATTAGCTTTTCTACAGGTATAACAATTAATGTTTTTGGATAATAACATTAGATAAAAAATAGAATTAATATGCGCTAATAAAATTCCTAAAAACTGTATAAGGGGCTTTATTTTAGTTGTACAAAACCGTAGAACTCACTGGAAGTTAACAGAACATACAACCAAACGGATGATGATGCAGTTTGGGAAATAGGTTTTTGTGTTTCTCCATGTGGCTTTATATGCCATGGCCAATCAAATAAGTCTACGATGAAATCGGGGGAAAAACATTTATGAAAATTAACAAACTTTGGGAAGATGTTTCCTGCTTCTCTGAATATCACTGCTGAAGGGTTCACAAAGATATACAGTTTTTTCTAGACTATACGTTGTACTCGATTAATAGTCGCCAGATTTCCAGATAGTCCGCAGTTCTCTTCTCTGCTGCTTGAATACCGTTTCTAGTTGCAAACGTCGAAATCTTTAAGTCTTTAAGAAAGTTTTTTTCTTGATTGTTTTATGTCTTTTATTGAATCTTTATGGTTAAAT